ATTTATTTTATCTATTCTTTTACTTGTATATAGCTTAAATTTTTATTTTGAGTTGCTGTGATATCGTAAGATTTTACTGACTAAATAAATGTAGATGTAGTGTGATATCTATCGCAATGGAAGAGATACTAGTGTCTGTAGAGACGTAGTAACTATTGTAAGAAAGAAGAGAGAGTCAAATGAAGGCAATGAATAACAAATAGACAAATTTTGAACCAAAAAAGCACAAAGAATACAAAAAATAAACTAAAGTAACAATAGCAATAAAATAAAAGATGGTAATTCAAAGCAAGAGCAAATAAGTAAAGCTTACAAAAACAATGAAAATAAATGACAAAACACTCTTTCACTGGATGTCCAAACAACTCCAGAAACACCTGAACAATTGAAGCTCAAACAATGAAATTTACCTAAACAAGAACAAAACAACTAGCCAATAAAATATCATTTTGAATTTGAATTTAATACTGTTTAGCACCTAAAATATAAGCTGTTTTCATAATAAATTATAAATCGTGATTCTGCTGTTAATAAAGCGTTGGTGCATTCATTGTCCATAAACCATTAAACTCTGAATTAACGAGAATGGAATTTGATTTCACACTATTGACATCATTGTCAAAATATTTTCACTTTGTAAATGATTTGTGTATTTGGCTAAGAATCGATCCGTTGCGATGTGGGCGGGACAGGTACTAGTCGCGGTTGGGTGCGGCCATTTGAAACCATGGGGAACAGTCCAAAGAAAAACACAGGGAACTCTACGCGCGGGAAACTACAGGGATCCCATTTTATAATAAAGTACTGCATGCTTCAAAGACGAGGTCTTAATAGATAAGAGAGCGTAATGCCTGCAATAAAAATAATTAGACGGCACAACTTTCAAAGTTTGCATGCAACTATCGCATGAAATTAACTTTGCAACTTGGCTACGGCTGTCGTAGGGTTATTTAAAAATTATTTTGAATTTCTGCTGAAGTTGTAGCCATGTTGTAAGGATGAGTTAGGCATATTTGCATGAGATCATTGGAGGCAAATGCTGTGTCGTCTAATTCGGACTTAAGACGAGCACAAAGTGTTAGATTATTTTGGAGCACTTGACATGGATTATGATTTCTGTTCTTTTTATATCAGCCCCAGTTCTGTATGTATGGCATATGCCACCAGCGGAGGTGCAAATTATRGGCAGAGTGGACGCACCAACGGCGAGTGTTGAGAAGGATCTTTCACCCTGGAAAAGAAACGCGGTTTCTGAACCTAAAAGTCGACCTACCACCAGACCAATCCGCTCCCTACCCCCCCAGAGTAGCCAACATGAACAAACCAAAAACTTACTGCCACAACCCCAGAAAGAAAAAAACCCCATACCACCCCAGCAAGAAAAAGACCACGTACCACCCCAGCAGGAAAATAAACGTGACATAAGCTTGGAGGATATATTAATAGAAGAAGACCATAGAAGACTGAGGGGGGATGGAAAAGTCAAAGGCATTCGTAAAAAGAAAATTCACCACAAGAATTTAAAAGGTGAGGATATATGCTTCCACATAATTGATTTTWRCATGATTTTAATCAAGAAKTTTTTAAACTTAGATCAAGATACAGGATGGCCAAATGGAACGTACGGACTACCGCGYGCTAACTCGGGCTGCCCATCGAGTACAGGATTCGAATGGGAGACAGGCTTCCGTTTTCAAGACACCGAAGACGACTTCACAGATAATCAGAAGTCTGATAGCTATCATCTCGCGGGAAAAGTCAGCGATGATGGRATAAGACAGGAATTTTGTATGAAGACAAACCCGTATGGAAATAGAAAGTAAGTCATTCAGAATTAATTAGAAAAGCGTCACTATAGTGTACTAAAATAGCTGCAGCATTCCTAAAGCGACTGCGATTTTGCTAAGCCGTCTGAAGTATGTGATATTTTTGCCTCTCTTAAACATTGCATGCAATAATAATTTTTTTATTTTATTTTATTCATATTGTATTAGTTTGTTGTATAATCTTTCTTTTATCCTGTTGTTCATTTTTTCCTTTTCTCTTTTTTTCTTTGCTCGCATTTTTTAATTTCTGTTCAGTCTTTACCTTCATGTTATGCTTCTTCTTTTTTACCAAGTCCAAGTAAACAAGAAGCCTGACAAGTGAGGCTACGAAGAACACTAATTGATTATCACCATTATAAGTTTTCTTATCACAAACCTCTTATCACAAACCTCTGTTTTTAGTTGGCCCGAAGGTAAATATTGTATATACAAGAAAGGAGCACAATGCCCTAAAGGTCTAGAGTCTGGATTCGTTATCTGGGATGATGAAAATAAGGACAACAAAGATTCTGCTGAGGGGACCCTCCCTGAGGGACGTTTCAGTGAAGATACCAAGATCTTTTTCTGCTGYAGCGCAACAGGGGACTGGGACGACCCTATTGTTCTACCTACAGACCGTCCATTTTATTTGTTTGCTTTCGAATCAAACAAGTGTCAAAAGGTATGACACTTATGTGGTCGCTATTACGAGGTTTCAGTAGGAGTGATGACTTGGGTGGAGCGTATCACTGGTCTTTAAAATGGTCGGATTATTGTATGTTCGGTTGATTGGGCGGTCGGTTTTATATGTCAAAAGTGTCAAAAGGCTTAGTATTTATGTGGTCGCTATTACGAGGTTTCAGTAGGAGTGATGAATTGGGTAGAGCGTATCACTGGTTTTTAAAATGGTCGGATTATTGTATGCTCGGTCGATTGGGCGGYCGGTTTATAATGTCAAAAGTTGAATATGAMCATTGATTTATTGCTTCATTTTGTATTCTTTTGTTCTATGTTTTCGGGTTTTTTTTCGTTTTTTTTATATGTTAATGTATTTTGTTTTGTTTTATATGTTCGTTTTCCATCATCTTGTAGGTCGAAGGAATGGAAGCCGTGTCTGAATTCATTAAGTTTGATGACCAAGATCGTGGTAATACAGATTACGAAGGTGGCTTTTATCCTTATGGAGTCAACAAAGGATCCAAAGACCATACAATATTCCTGTGTTATTATACACCCATTGGAAAAGTATGGGACAGCATTGGTAAGATAGTCAATAACTTTAGTATTCTGTCCCTGTCACAGGCAGCCCAACCCTTGATTAGCGTTAATTTTTATCACCCCTTTATGCTATATGGATGGAGATACTGTAAGATTCGATCTTAAAACCGACGCCAATGAAAACGGTTTGCGAATGAATATTTTCCCCTATCACAGGCAGCCCAACCCTTGATTAGCGTTAATCTTTATCACCCCTTTATATGCTGTATGAATCCTCTATATATTATAAAATTCGATCTTAAAACCGACGGATGGATACGAATTGGGAATTGATATTTTATGCCAGGTCAATATCCATATTTGAAAAATCCAGGCCACGACCGTATTGCATGCCGGTTAATAATGTACTATCAACTTTATATCGAGAATGAGCAACAACTAAACTCTTACCTCCTAAGCGTCAGTAAGATTTCTCCCTTTATCCCATCCATTCAGTTTAATTTCTATCCATTTAATTGATGATTATATTATGGTTTCAGTGGAAATAGCCCCAATGCCAACTCTAGTAAAACCCAAGCATAAATCMACAAACTTCAAAACAAAGCAAAAAGGCAAGAAAAAGAAAATTGATAAACTTGAAGAAATGGAGAAGCTTCGCAGCTCTGAGAAAATGATGGATGCATTTCTTGCTGCGACATCTCAGCACAATGAAGAAACAGACAAGAGTGAACGAACAAAGACTATTATCAAAACAATAAGAGTGAGTAAACGCTGATGCTTCCTTGATAGATAAGCTTTCTTATATAAATCTAAATGAAAAAACTTAGTTTTTATAATTGATTGCTATGTCATTGACGCTAAGACCGAAAGGGAGCATATGGGAAGGAATATATTAGTACAATTCTGTTTCAGTTCACAAACAATGTATGCACTAAATCATCGCTTCCTCTATAAGAAATGACTTTATAAAGAACATATTTAGACAAATATGATTTACTCCGACGAAGGTTTAACGTCCGAAACTTCAGTAAGTTATTTCACATACTTTTTTTACGGTGTTAAATTTATCTTTTTACACAACTGTTTCTTTAGAAACACCGACGCAGCTCACACAAGTGTACCGCTAGTCCCCACATTCATGATTTAAGTAATGCCCCGAGTAAGAACTAGGGAAGCAAACGGCACAGGAATGCAAGAAGGTGCTAATTGCGCATTGTATAATCCATCCATCCCATTGGTTAAAACATGAAAATCTGCTATAATTTCACAAGTTATCGAATTTTCTAATATTATATTTAATGTCGTTTTTCGCTTTCATGAAAGCTTTCTTTAGCTTCAATATTAAGGCAATTCTATGTGGGGAACATTGCAAATTAGAAGCATCTTTTAGCTATTGTTTTGAGTGCTTATGATTGGATAAGAGCTTTTAATACAAAAGAAACTTTGTTTCAAAATAGAGTTTATCCACATTTTATTTCAAAAATGTGTTACCCACAAATGGATACATAATCAGTGTGAAAACCAAGACATTCGTACATGGGGGAACTTGCTATGCCGCACAACAATAGAGAGCTCCCTAGTTCTTACGCGCATTGTTACTTAATATGTCGAGTGCCCAGAATCCCCATCGGTCGTAGCTCCATTTTCGAACCTGTCAACGTTTTTTAACCAGATGTAAACCATTTTATCTGTTCCACAGGTCCCTGAGCGTGTCAAGGACAGTACGACCACAATAATAGCTACTACAATGGGTGTAGTTCTAGGTGCCTTAATTCTAGGGTCTGCATTACTCATCATAATATCGCGACACATTAGAAAGCGTCACGAGGCACGAATAGATTCAATGGAAGATCACGATATAACGTTCTCGAACTCTTCACGGAGAAGCAGCTTTGCTACGTCAGATGAYGAGATTGAACTAACTGAAGGTGACTACGAGGATGAGCTGGTAGAGGACCAGTATTTACCCTCTGACTCTGAACTGAAGTCTGGTTTAGAGCTGATGTTCCTCAAACAACAGAGACATTATTGGACTAAAAATAAGAAACCATGACATGGAAAGTGTAAAATATAAGACTGTTTACCAAGTATCAGAAAGCGCGATCTCTTGTTGGAAAACAGTTTCCAGAAATTTGTCATAGAGAAACTATTTATACAAGATGAATGGTCGCAATGCACGAGTTTCAATTTTGGAGAATTATGGGTGCAATTCATGGAAAAGCGCACCGTGGATCTAAAAGGATAGATATATGGAGTGCTCAATCATTGGCCAAGTCATTCAGAGAACAACTATCCAAGAACAAAGGTCAATACGGCAGGTGAAGATAAATGGTCATATTAAGGATGTGTCGAGATGGTCARCTTTATTGGCATGAAGGTCAGCATGAGTTTTAACTGCGCCTTAATGTGTTTATCCAGGCAATAGAAAGGCGCTGCTAATGACGCAGCAAAGCTGATATATATACCAACGCTATGGTCGTTTGCAAATCATTTTTTTATCTTCTTGGAGGCGTCTTGTATAATAGACTGCGGCGTTGCGTTGTTAATTTTATGATGGTATGTAAGACCGGTTATCATATGTCAGGACTGCCGACAATACTCCGATCAGTTATCGATCCAATCATGTTACTACGGTTTGTTATTGAATCGATCGTACTTATTCTTCTGTTTTCCTGAAGGCTTTCTAATTGTAGGTTTCTGCCAATCGGTTTGACTGGATGGCAGCGATCTAATATCGATTGTTTTCTGTAGTTCAACTATTAGTCGACGTTCAACTATCGATTAATCTGTAACTTTTTTGAAAATCCCAGACCATTAATCATAACAATGCATTTCTAAATACCATAAAAACAACCCTTCAAGGACGGTGAACTGTGAATTCTCTTGTCATAACAGTTGTGACAAGGTGAAGTCTTTCCATGAGAGCGGATTTTAAACAATACATTTATATTAAAGATTTGTAAATAAACAATGAATTGCTRGGGCTTGCAATGCATCCCCTTGAATAAAGAGTTTTATAACCAATGAACTTAATTGCCCCACTTTGTCACCTCCTACGATATTCCCTTCATCTTCTTTTMATCCTCTTTTTCTTTTCTTAGTTTTTTCCTTTTCTTTACTAAGTTTCTTTTCGCTTGATTCTTTCTTTTTGCCCAATTGTTTTTCTGATTCTTTATTTTAAACCGTTTAATGTATAAAATACAACAAATTCAAAGCTAAATCAAAAGTAAATGAATAAARACAGTGATAACTGATCACTGTGTAAACATCTATCATAAAATCGATGATTTTTTTAGTGTTTGCAAGGGTCAGTAGTGACATAATTTAGTACAACAATCGTAAACAATAATAAAACGATAATTTAAAAAATGTAAGAGCGTCAAACGAATAAAAGATCTACGAATTCCTTCGCTATAGGTTATTAAAAATGAGTGAACAAGTTTATTCAAAAGTTCAAAGAAATCAGCATTAGTTGGATGCCTTCACAGTTGGCTTATCTACGTGTGCTCGTCCCGGTTGAGCGCTCCACCCATGAGGGCTGTTATTTACCTTTTGATGTAATCTTTATTGACCTCCCATGAATCCTTTGTAGATGGACATCAAATAGACAAACTTWGCCCATTGTTAGTGCTTTCTATACGAATAGATTAAGCATTCTTAATAATGTGTTAATAACCTAATAAGCCCATTATTTCTAGCCTAATGGCGCACTCTAAAAGTCCTAAGGTATAAACGTAACAGAGACGTAACAAATTTAGCAATTAACGCAACGTTTTTGTGTTTATGACTAAGCAATTTCAAACCATTGTTTCATGGCTCATTATTCAGTCTATATAGTCRGATTATTATTCATTACTTCATCAAGAACTGATTAAGAAATTGAAATTKTCATTGATGGGTACACAGTTGCATTCCGTATTTGTAAAACGCAGGATTTTTGCGCAGGCCATTAACGTAAACATAATCTGTCTATAATGCGTGAGAATAAGAGAAATACTAATGAAAAGGGTGGGAATGATATTGACAACGTCATTTAATCTAAGTACTCATTATTTTACGTATCAATCTTACGTTATCGCAACTGACACGTGTGGAACTTGGTTCAACTAACCCTTCGCACGTGCAAAAGAAGGTTTAATCATAAACAAGATGCACACAAAAGATTCCTACGTAAGTTTCCCACTCGGTAACTAAGGAAACACTTTAACAACAGTACCTCCTTCACAGACATCAGAGATTTTATCCTCAAAAAAAATATACCCGATGGTAATTGTATGGCAATGGTAGAGGTCGAACATATAATTGACGACTTTTCGCGGTTAATTACTTCTCATTCCGTCAAATGTTTGTATTTKCGCAACTAATATTATTGATTATTTGTTGTCGGTACGTTTCATTCCGACAATCCGCCGTCAAGTCCATTCAATTTTTACCCTGACGGAACACTTTGACATCATTGACCACTTATCACCCTTTATCAAAGAAGGGAAAGTCAACTTATAAAATCAACGAGCTACGAATGTACACTTCAGAACACTTGATCGGAAAAACATTCCAAAGGAAAACAGCAAGACATCAATTCGATTTTTTACTCCACGCACCATTTCACATTCCCAGTGGAACCCACTTCGGTGTTTGGAAGCCAATCCAGTGCTGTTGATCAATGATTCGATTTGAAAAATGTGCCAACCAAGTTCACCGGCAGCAAGCGAAGGTCGATTTCTTGTAATTGGAAGCAAAGGAGTTGGGAAATCAGGTAAGAAACAGTAKATTGTGMTTWAGGATACTAGTTTTTCTCAAGTAAAAAYACCAGTTATAGAATCAATGTTATGGTTCGAAATGAGTTTTGTTCRTGRCATTTAATTGGTTTCCCTTYTGTGAAATCCAGTTAAGAACGTGGATCATCGGCCTAAATAGCTTTGACTTATTATCATTTCTGTTGTAAGATCCTTTATCTGTTTTCATGTTTTTGGTTTGTCTTCTTGATATCTTGACATTCGATGGCAAATCCAGTTGTAGCCATCTGTAAATTCTCAGAAAACAATTACATCACGCAAAGAAATGATGTGAGGTTATTTCAATATATTCTAAATATACATTTTTACAGGAAGTCTTACATATTGTACCTTAGACAAAGTCTGATCCTTTTCTAATTAATTKTAGAATAATGAAAGAAACATTTCAATTATAATTGGTACATTTGGTTTCACATAGAAAACACATTTTAAAAATCTGGGAAATTTAACGAGGAAACCTTTGCAATTTTATTTAGTGTACATTATCATTGCTATTCAACCCAAACAGTTTAATACAAAACAATACGACGTTAAAACGTATTTACTTGTCTAAAATAATCAATAAATATCAATTATTATTAACAACAATTGACTTTTATCCATTATCTGATATAGTTGTSTGTTCGCACACGAACCTCGCTTGATCAAAATCATCGCAAACACTGTTACTAAAAATACTAGATTGCATACAAGCTATTTGAAAACATTGTATTATCTATATAGCGTAATTACACGCTTTACTGGCACTATACTTTTCTACATAATAGCATTTTAACCTTACATTGTATCTTGTCTAATAGTTGCATGCCTCAGAAGATTGGTCCATACATATGTATAGCTAATTTAAAACATTTACCCACTTGCGGCGGTGTTTTGCTATAGGGTCTAGTCAAGCTYCATATTCCACTTACAGACGTACAATAATTTCAACGTCATATGTACGTACATAATATATCGAGTTTGCTTCACTGTATACATTCACAGAAACGAATATACAGGTAGCTTATACAATTGAAAAGAAGATTATATTGTGCGATTAAGCATGTATGAGATATATTACAATGCTAGATAATTATGTACTTGATGTGACCACAGCTACTACAGACGTTTTCCGTAGACACCATATAACATATAGTCAATGGAAAAGAACCAATATAGGAGAGAGTATTGTTAGAGAACTATATAGGCACAATATTAGGCGGGAAATCTGAATCAGAAGTCGTAGTAACATTTATTTACTATTTCCCAATGATTCTGAAGAACGGCTGTCTTCGAGGAACTGACTTGGATATATACACATAGGTCTTTACGGTCGTACAATTAGTATTTACYCTAAACACTTTTTCGAAAAGGTATATGCTGGGGGTGAATTTATCCGTCAATTTATTCTTTTTGTGTGTTGACGACAAGATCAAATTCACCAATGCTAACTGCTTCGCTTATATATTCAAAATGTAAAAGAAAAGATACATAWTCGTACTGTTTGGCTGCCAATTTTTCTGTATGTTTTAATTATGACCAAGGTGAGGATTGCAACACTTGTCAGTTTGATTAGCAAAAACCGGAAACATTTAACACAAGTATTTTAGCACATTACCACTTTATCAACACACCACCTATTATTATCTCATTATTGCGATCTGGGTTTAATTAGTCCTCGGTAATTATCATATTGGGGGTCTAAGATTTGTACATGGATTGATTCCGTGGATTACAGAGTAATTTTCCTACGCGGTCTAAAAGGAAATTAGTTGGGAGCTATCGTTTACTTGTCAATCAAAGGCAAAAGATACCAAAGGGCTGTAAACCCGTGAAATCAAAACTAGGATCTTTACACTTAAACCCGTCAAACATTGACGAAAGGTTACTATCAAAACAGCAAAGTAATTACAGTAAGGTTCTATGAACACTGAGTTTTCATAAAAAATGAAATGTACTTTATCGTAGTATATTACTCTTTATTTTACACGTTTTTCTCTGTCTTTTCGGTGTATCAAGCTTTATTGTACTTTGTCTACTATACTTTGTTTCACGGTTAATAAAATCTATTCTGTATGACAATATTAAAGGACTATTGTCAAAATGGACACAAAGGAACTATCGATGTTTGATTAACTGTAGTATATGAGAAAAGGCGAAAAATCCAATACAACAATAGCTTTCTGTAAGTATCTTTATCGTTTTACCATCAATTTTGACCATATGCATTGATATATATAGATCTCGAAGGATGTTATTTTTGAGGTTACAAAGTAACAGGTGCGCACGAATGTACGTAAGAAACTACGTAATTAGAATATGCTGGTTTCTGATAAAAAAGTATTATAACGCGTGGGATTTTCCTAAGAGAGCTTAACCAAACTCATAGTGCACCACTTAAACCATTAAACCATAAATAGCATTGGTTTTTTTTAGGCCATCCATGGCTTTAAAATGTTATTTTGGGCTCCTTTTGTGTACTTACGTTCAAGCAATACATTCATGTGTAAAATTTACGTACGTAAATGAGCGATTACGTTTTGTTGTTTGCGTGATATTTCCTTGCTTGAATCTTGAACTCAAAAGAGGTTATCACCGCCTTGTCTTGTATGAGTATCCCCCTTATCAWAAGATACTGTCAATCTTAGTAAAACTGAAGTTATTAGGCTTAACATTAGAATATAAAAAAATGCTGTTTTATTACCTTGTAGTTTCACAGTCGGTAGTTTCTTTGGACGTCAACATTACGTGGTTATGTCATGTAAATGAGGAAAACTTTAATGTAAAAAATTCAAGATAATCTATTGAACATTGAATCAACRGAACATTGAGATACGGCTGTTTGGCTAAGATAATCCTGTTCTGTCCTTCCCGTCCCAACCCCACCCTGGCAASAAWACTTAMTGGTAAAACAATGCTAATTATTATKTTTTYATTTTGTCAGCTGTGACTGTAAGATACCTRACAAAAAGGTTTATAGGAGAATATCAGTCGGTGATGGGTACGTATATCATGATAGAGCGGATTTTGTATGACTGTAAAACGGCACGGATCACGGCACGTAAACGRCAAGGTCACGGAACCGAATTCAAGAATACATCCAAGAGCGGATCCAGCTGAAATTTTAAGAGGTTCCTAAATGGTTTTGAGGGGGGCTAAATGGGGTTTATTTGTTATAAACAGCATTGAAAATAATAGAAAACAGTTTACCTTTTATGCTCAAAGGAGGGGCTACAGCCTTCCTTTGACCCTCCCAGGATCTGCCCTTGACATCGCCGTCAAGGTAAGGTACAGTCACGGCACAGTGCACTGAGTCAAGGTACGAAAGTGCCGCGTGTCTTGCACGAAATCTGTTGTAATGATAACGATGACAAACGATATGATGATATGTAATCATTGTGGTTTAATCCCAATGGTGTGTCTGCATGGACTAGCAAACAAAGCTTTGATAGTAATTTATGAGAATTATTTTTCTTATTTGTAGAACTAACTTACATACAGAAGCTGAAACTAGACGAGGAYGTGAATGGATTGACGTTTGAAATCAGGGATACTTTAGAAAGGGTGAGAACTTTATTCATTATTCACTATTACTGTTCTCTTGAATGTCGCAGTAATACGACTCAAATGATAATTTAGTTTATCACAGATTAATAATGGTTTTATTAGAAAAAATCTTGAAATATTTGTGTTTTATATTCACGTAAGCTTTACGTATTCCTATGCGTTTACGTAATTGTTTTAAACGCATACATTAGACCCRTGCAGAGCTAATCRCGGACTATTGAGACTTGACAATCTCCACAGCTCCTTAGGCGCGGTTCGACGGTATCTTAACGTRTRTCTTAGCCATAMTTATTAAGATATGGAAACATTCTGTTCATATAACGATGTAATCGGTTCAGATAGTTTCAAGAAATTTTTGGTAGCATTTTAACAAATTGTTTACTCATCGTAACACTGCAACACTGAATACCGCCAATGCAGTTCGGTACAGAACCTAACACCTTCCARACATTCATATCAAAGTCATAGCAYTCWATTTTACTCGTACGCTCTCTACAATTCTTTTTACCACCAAGAACGTAGATRTGTTTGTCCAGGAAAACCACACCACAAAGAGCACGTGGTACTATAAGATTTCCAATGTAACTCCATATTTGGCTTTGAGTGTCAAACACTTCACAGCTGTTGTGTGATGATAGCAAGTCGTCTTGCGTTCCACCAATTACGTAGAGTTTTTCATTTACGGACACTCCACCTGCGTACGCGCGTCKCGTCTTTAGTTGCGGGACGGGACTCCACGAGTTGTCCCGTGGATTGTACTTTTCTACCGTGTTCAGGTAAATGCAGAGATCGCGATCGTTTTCGCTCTCTGTTTTCCCGCCAATAGCGTAAAGATAGTCAGAAGCGATGACACATGGGCCTCCACGACTAGTGGTCAGCGGAGATACTTCCTGCCAYTGATTGGACAGTGGATTGTATCTGTAAATGAAGAAAGACAGACTTACTGTTAGYTGAATACCCAAATGAGCAAGGTTTATYGGGTTACAATTATATGTGCTGAGMAAAGGTTATGTACCTTGAAACGTTGTTCAGTGGTCTCCCTCTGTTCCAGCCTCCAACCGTGTACAACACTCCATTCAATTCAGCAACACCAAGCGCTGATACCTCTTTGTTCATTGGWGACACGCCCGACCACGTGTTAGTCCTGTAATCATACCTYTCCATACTCGACAAGTGACCGTTTAACGATACTCCCCCTACWGTATAGATAAACCCCTCACAATGGACCGCGCCGTGACTAAACCTGGGAATYAGCATAGGAGCGAGGCTATACCATCGATTCTCACTCGGTATGAAGCACTGGGTCGAGGACCTTAACTCGTCTCCAGGKCCCCAAATTGTAACTATAGCGTTGACGTGACTTGTCGAGCACTTACGAGGCTTGGTAATCAAMGTTGTGTCYGTTAGTACTTTTGGTATCGCGTAGTTTTTCATSGCWTGGTAAAGTAGCGTGAGACATTCAAGACTGCTCATGACTAGYTCTTCTTTCTCTATGGTATCACCTATGTAGTATTTGTTTATGCATGGAAGTCGGACGCACTTGAATAGAGTCGGRAAAGACTSCCTTCGACAATCGATATCGCGTTTAACCCACGACACGATRCTCTCRTAYACCTCCTCCTCGTTCTYAATCTCGAGGTCATCACACGAAATGAGCTGTTGTACTTGTTCAGCCTCAAGCAAGAGAAACTCTTCGGACTTTGAGACATCAACAAACCGATCAATTATAAAGTCTTCCGCTTTAAACAAAAGCTCTTTACAGTTGTACTTCTCAGCGAACGCACGGACAKACAGACAGTTTTCAGCAGTGAGGTTTTTCTCCATGTATTCACTTCCTTTCGCTTTCAAATCGTTCATCAATARATAGTCCGCCGCAAACACTATCTTCYGTACGTTATCTTCCGTAAAAGCCGTCTTTCCAGTATAAATATATTGAAGTAAATCCTCCATCATATCTTYTTCAAATCCATTCAATTCAACTGTCTGAATATCACCAGAGATCTCTTTCAGTTCAGTTGTAAATAAACCAAGAAAATAMGGACTRCTGGCCGCCAAGATGTTTTTATGAGCTGAGAATTTCACTCCTTCGACGATAAGACACGTATCACACAATATCCCCTGTTTTCTGAACTCGTCCATGCTTCTGTATAGGTTACGTCGATAAATGTCGTCTACCACATCGTTCGATCCCTCTTCCGTTCCCATGTTTCGAGTTGCTTAGACTACCTTAATAAAAACGGCAAATTTGGTCTTTTTAAGCAAAAAACTATATTCATTAGACCTTTTGTTATATTGAGATGGCTGTTTTTGTTAATAGTATGAATATACTTAACAGCTAATTTCTTTTGTCGTGGTSTTGAATTGAAAAAAAGTAAGGAATATTTACATTTCAACGAKTGCACACACGTCAGCAGGTGGATGCCAAATAAGGAAGTGATGTATTCAAATTAATTTTTAGTGGCTTTTATTGAATCATAATCATTCTCGCCATGTGATTGGTTATTGATTCGCGTTGGTCTTTTATGCCGTTTATCACTTTAAAAAATATCCCGTTTTTTATGTTATAAGTAAAAATATAAAGTGATGATATAGATCAATTTATCTCATTATAATTTTACCGCTCTCTACTTTGTGGTTATACAGCTTGTAAAAATGAAATTTTGCGGCTCGCTGTATAAATTCTTTTAATTTTTTAAAAAATTATCAGGGGATGGTTGTACGAAGAGCTAATAGCGCTAACCACCGGACTAATCCTTATTCAAGACTTAAAACTCACACGGCAAAATCTCAGTGTGGAGTGGATAACTTTATCCACCCTTTTTACAAACGGGCCAAGGCTGGCTGGTTGGTTGGTTGAAAAGCGCATTGATTGAGTCGTTTCCATTTGACTGAAAAGATTAGTTGGTATTACACTCTGAATCTATTGTTTTCTTTTATTCTTTACGAGCAAATACTACTGAACTAAATAGTCATTTTCATTGAACGGTCAGATAAACACCTAGGAATTTTTTTCTCATTTGAATAGATATATCATCGATTAATGACACCTTATATCTTTTATCATTATGTCTTATTTCTTTATTTTATTTCATATTTCTAGGGTGATATATCATTGTATGAGAGTAGTATACGATGGGCCGATGCGTTCCTCGTCGTCTACTCGATAACAGATAAAAACAGTTTTAACAATGCTATACAGCTTGTTGAAGCGGTGTATGATGGGAAGGGTACTGATGAAGTACATGTCGCACTGATAGGCAATAAAACAGACCTGGATCACTTCAGAAAGGGTGAGTCTTTTTCTAGGAAACACTTAGTTGTTTGGATGACTCACTTACTGACTGACTGTGAAAGACTGATTGCTTGATGGATTGATTGATTGATTGGTTCGATGGTTGATTGGTTGATTGATTGATTGATTGATTGATTGATTGACTTCTTGATTGATTAATTGATTGAAAAGCGTTAAACTTTGCTATTTTGTATTACTTGAATGACTGACTGACTGACTGACTGACTGACTGTCTGACTGTCTAACAATAATGACTGACTAGATGACTCTAACTGACTGATTGAATAATCAATCGACTGACTGATTGACTGATCCTTGCGCTGTGTTTCATCACTTGTTAACGTATTTTCTTTGATATTTCAGTGACAAAAGAAGAAGGGAAATCCGCTGCTGAGCAGCTAGGGTGCATGTTCTACGAAGTATCAGCCGCTGAGAATTACGAAAATGTGCAAGTAGCCTTGAACTCTCTATTTCGCAAAGTAACAATACACAAGAAACTGATGTTCCGTGCAAAAGAGAAACGAAAAAATAGTACAAGTTCAGAAAAGAAGAAATATGGATTTGGAAATGGTCTTTTTAAACGAAAAGCTAGTACTGAACGAAAGAACACCTTACCGAAGATTTGACACACATTTATACAAGTCGAAAAAAATCAACCTGTACGGTCCCCTTCTACTAACTATGGACAGATCAATGATTCTGAACATTCATCAATTTTAKTACATATATACTTGAAGAAATCATCATCCTCTGAAACACTGGGGTGACCTTCTGTTGTTTGTGCCACGTCGRCGGATTACCCCTTGGTTC